GTCGCCTTTTCAAACAAAGTAAGTAGTCAGGACTTCATAGAAACTTTCATTCTAAAGGAAGGGCAAAGCTTAATAATGAAGTAATTCACATGCTCACTTAGGATAATTAATTTAATATTCCTACATAGCTTAAATTCGGCCGGGAACCACAATTGTGGATCTTGAAGTGTGTACAACACCTTCTTTTCGAGGTTATTTGAGTCTTTGCCCGATCTTTGGTAATACGGACTAGTTAAACAGAGTTATTTGCAAATATGTGTCCTAACACACACCTTAAAATTGTTAGGTGATGACACTTCTCTTTTAATACCCATTCAAAAGGGTTGTCACATGTCAAAACCCGCTTTCGCGAGAAAATGGGGCGCAACAGTCATCATTTAATTCAATATACTAATTATGAGTTCATATTTAATATTTGTTGAGATTTCAGTATGTTTTTACACATATATGTGTACCCAGTGTCGTTAGTTATGGGTTCGGTTGAACCCATAGCCATAAGGCTACATTCGTCCCTCACTACTACACCTCAGTCCCAAACAAATTAGGTCGGCTATATGAATCCTCATTGAGCATGTGTTTCCATTTAAATTCATACTTTAATGTGCAAATTATTTGCAATATGAACATGGTAATCATATTGATCATTTCGACTTAAGTGTGTAACAAAATCTGAAAGAGAAGGGACCTTTCATGGTTCTCAGAAAGAATGGAGATTGATAAGTAGATCAATATTCGTGATAAACAAACGTATGTTAAGCCAATTACTCATCTATACAGATTAGAACTTCAAATTGGTTACATATCTTTTTTTCTTTTAACAACAAATCACTTAATGTTTAATCACTGCAAAATGAACCTAATTTCATAATGGTTTTACCATACAGTAAAAAGGAATGAAAGAAAACAAAAATCTGCCATTATTTTTTCTTGCCTGCTTTACCCTCTTTCCTTCTAACTACTTCATCAGCATACTTCACACCTTTACCTTTGTAAGGTTCTGGAGGTCTCCATTTTCTTATTGAAGCTGCAAACTGGCCAATGGCGGATTTATCGTATCCACTTACAGTGATTCTTGTGTTTTCTTCAACCTTAACTTGCAGTCCATCTGGTATTTCCATCCGAACCGGATGAGAGAATCCAAGATTAAGAACTATGTCTTTCCCTTCAATCGTTGCACGGTATCCTACACCTACCAATTGAAGTTTCTTCTCGAATCCTTTTGACACGCCCACAACCATGTTGTCAGTAAGGGTCCTAGCAAGTTTAATATACCAAAAAAAAATGTCATTTACGGAGCAAACACTAATATGCGTTTAGAACATGATTGCATTTACTTTTTACTTCAGTGAAGTAATGGCAATGAAATTAGAGACCAATATTGTAAGAGCCAAAAGTTCAAAAACCATCACGGAAAGCTTGGCCAATGGTTTGACTATATGACAATTCTTTAAACTCGAGACAAGGCATCAGTTTGGTCATTTCATGATTTAAGAACAATATCTAACTTTGGAATCATAAGATTCCTTAAGATCAGAGACAACCTCAAGAACTTCAAGTTGTAAACATAAAAAGTTATCATTGTTGGACTTTAAGCATTGGGCTTTAAAGACTAAGAGTGTGAATTGAGAAATGGTGGGAAATAAAATAGAGGAAAATGAAAATTTGAATCAAGTGAGCTTTTGTCATTAACTTTGTACCACATTGGTGAAAGACAACTACACTTGTGTGTATAAATATGGGATCACTTCTTAGAGCTCTTAAAAGGAGTTGAAGAGAATAAACCCTCGCGCCGCCGTCGTCACTCGCTCGGCTTGGATTTGGATTTGGATTTAGATTTATTTAATATTTAATATCGCGCCAGAACCCTTCTGCAGATTCAGAGGGCCACTCTGGCCGCGGTCCTGGCGTAACCGCGGCAGGCGGCGTAAACTTCTGAAAATGCACTTTTTTCAGAACAAACATCACACCTCTTCCAATAATTGCCTATAAATTCTGAGGCATGGCTTCGGTTTTGATACACCAAAAACATTACAGAACTTTCTTCTTTCTGAAAATACTGCATTCTAATTCGCAGTCTCTCTCTCTCAAATTCGTAAGTGTAATTTTGCTCCGTTCTTTGAGTTCGTTGGTATCCTGCAGTTTGTATTGTCACTGTTGCAGGAAGATTTATTCCGTTTCATCCTGGGAGGATTTAATCCATTACCTTGACAATGTGTGAAGGGGTTAAAATTCCTTAAGGACGCACAAGCAAATTGTGGACTCGGAATATTTCTTATAGTTTACTGTTTTTTTTTTCCAGTTTTTTCTTCTAACAGTTTTTCTTTATTTTCCTCCTAATTTTGTGTTTCCATACCGAAATTTAACAAGCTTAAGGAATTTTAAAATCTAACGGTTCTGTGTTGAAATATATATATTAAACTGTTATCTATATTTTGTATACTGGTTTGGAGACTAAAGCCTTCGTGCTTTCTACTCCAATAATTGTTCTGTTCGGTTTAAAGTATAACAAAACTTTACCGGAATAAGAAACGAACGGGTTTGAAGTATATAAAAACTCCACCATTGTTACGTGTTGTGTGTTTGGTTTGGTATTCAGTTTGAAGATATCAAAACTTCACTGATTTAACAAAATTCTGTTTTGTTTCCAACTCTATAGAAACATGTCGAATGAAAACCAAACTAATGAAAATGTTGCGGGAACGGGTGCTACTGTTACGAGTGTTGCTGCCTCGTCAAGCTGTTCAACTCCTGCTCATGCTATGGCACCAGCAGAAAACCCGAAAAGTTTTCCGGTATTGACTTCAAACGTTGGCAAATGAAGATGCTCTTCTATCTGACTACGTTGAGTTTGTAGCGATTCATCAAGGAGGATCCTCCGGTCCTGGCTGAAGGCACTCCGGATGACGAACGATTTGTGGTAACTGAAGCATGGAAACATTCTGATTTCTTGTGCAAAAACTACATTTTGAGTTATTTGGAAGATAGCTTGTACAATGTCTATAGTGTCATGGAAACTTCAAAAGCATTATGGAATGTGCTTGAGAAGAAGTACAAGACTGAGGATGCCGGACTTAAGAAGTTCGTGGCTGTAAGGTTTTTGAATTTCAAGATGATTGACACTAGGTCGGTCATAACTCAAGTCCAAGAATTACAAGTCATTGTGCATGATCTCCTTGCTGAAGGTATGACCCGAATCAATAATTTTATTAATAAGATTTTTTGTGTTATTAATTGTGAATTTATTATTGAAGGTATGGTCATAAATGAGGCCTTTCAAGTCGCTGCTTTCATTGAGAAGTTACCTCCGTTGTGGAAGGACTTTAAGAACTATCTTAAACACAAGCGGAATGAGATGACACTTGAAGAATTGATTGTTCGTTTGAGGATAGAAGAAGACAACAAAAATACTGAAAAGAAGTCACGTGGAAACTCGACAATAATAAGGGCTAACATTGTTGANACTAACATTGTTGAGAAGGCACCACAAAATAAGAAAAGAAAGAAGGCTTCTGGACCAAAGAATTACCCGAGCAAGAAAAAGTTCAAGGGTAATTGCCACAACTGTGGAAAATCTGGGGATAAGGCCGTGGATTTTCCTGCACCAAAGAATGATAAGAAGAAGAAGAATCAAGTTAACATGGTTGAAAATGCTCAAGAAATGGAGGACTTGTGTGCAATGTTGTCTGAATGCAACTTGGTAGGAAATCCTAAAGAATGGTGGATTGATTCTGGAGCCACCCGCCATGTTTGTGCTAACAAGGAGTTATTTTCTTCCTATGCCCCCGCAGGACCCGACGAGACAATTTTCATGGGAAATTCGTCTACAACCAAAATTGAAGGAGTTGGCAAGATTGCATTGAAGATGACGTCGGGAAAAATTGTGACTCTAAACCAAGTTCTCCATGTTCCAGAAATTCGCAAGAATCTTGTGTCTACCTCACTTCTTGTCAAGAATGGATTCAAATATATTTTTGTTTCTAATAGTGTTGTACTAAGTAAGAATGATGTGTATGTAGGAAAAGGTTACCTGAATGAGGGCCTTTTTAAGCTAATTGTAATAGCAGTTCCTATAAATAAAGTTAATGCTTCTTCTTACTTACTTGAGTCAAACACTTTATGGCATGCACGCTTAGGTCACGTCAACTTCAAAACATTGCGAAAAATGATAAATTTAGAAGTATTGCCAAAATTTGATTGCATTAATTCTAAATGTCAAATATGTGTGGAATCAAAGTATGCTAAGCATCCTTATAAGTCCGTTGAAATGAATTCAAGTCCTTTAGACTTAATTTACATAAATATTTGCGACATGAAGTCAACACCATCTCGCGGTGGGAAAAAATATTTTATTACTTTTATTGATGATAGCACGAGATATTGCTATGTTTATTTACTTAATAGTAAA